CTCCATTGTGTATATGTACCACAGAGATGAACTTTAAATTATAACACCCATCTCTCTCTCTCTCCTCTCTTTTTTTCTTTTTCATTTGAAGCCAATATGACTCAAGCATTAGACAATATCAACTTGGTTAAGGGGAAAAAAGCAAACATTTGCTGCCCCCTGCTGTTCAAGTTCCTTAGCCTTTCTGAAATTTCTGGTTGAAACTAAAAATAAAGTGTTTTTTCTTTCAATGAGTGAACATAATGCCCTCCTATGCACCTATAACCATGCAAGATGATTGAGACACAAAACTGATCAATGTGACAAGTAAAGAAAAACAAAGAATTTCAAGGCAAAATCACATGAAAATGTGTTTTAAAGTGTCCCCAGATGCCATCAGTTCCATTGTACCAAATCTGTGATGCCAGGGCTTCCTAGTCTGAGGAAGAGAGAGAGGGGGACCGGGAGGGGAAACAGGCAAGGAGAGGGAGGAAGAGGAGAGCAGTGGGGGGCAGGCACAGTGAACACAATGCAATCCCATCCTGACGGTGTGGAAAGGGCAGCTTGTTGCTTCCTTTTCATTTTAAGTCCATTATAAGCGTAAAATTTTAAAATAAAAGGCTAAATGAGTTTAACAGGAGTATGTTCCTTTTGGAGCAAGATTAGTATTTAATGTTTTAGCTTAATTCTGGCAATTATCACCAGATGGTCCAGAATAAAATTTTGCCTCTGCTACAAGATCTCTGGGAAGGCCTATGTAACCCAGCAACAGCAAGCTCCCTTTATCTTACCTCTGCTCCTTTTGGCCAACAAGAGATGTTTTCACAGTTGGATCAGAAGCTGCCTCAGTGATCACCGATACCTCATACCTACTCTTCAATCCAGCCACTTAGAACATGTGGCAATATCACAGAGGTACCATATTTCCATGAAATATCATCCCCCAGCTTAAAACTTGACACTTACCTCTCCTTTCCTCCTCCCTCCCACCTTTATTTCTGAAAAATTAATCCCCTTATTTTATTATGAGATTCAGTGTCTTTTATTCTATTATTATCTTTTTATTAAATAATTAATTTTTGTTACAGATGTTTCTCCTTTTTCCCCCACTGATTCCCCCCTCCCCCTCCCTCCCCGCCCTGTCCCCAGCTTTGTTGTCCATGTCCATTGTCCATGCACACATGCATATAAGTTCTGTGGTTTATCTCTCCCCCACCACCCCCTCTCCTGGGGATTGTCAGTCTGTACCCCACTTCCATGTCTCTGAGAGTACCCCATTCCTCAGACTGTGATATTCAGAGCAGGCCTCCCCAAGATGTGTTGCTTTGGCATGTGGATTATATGAGCTGATGGCAATAGAAACCCTGTGGGCTCAAGAGAAACTCTGTCCCCACCTTAATTACCTAGAAAATTTAAAGTAGGGGCCTGGCCCATAATGAGTTATTACCAGAGATAAATTTTCATGACCTATATATATGACAGGGCAAACATCTCATGACTGAACATCTGCTCTTATCAAACTATTAATGAACCTCCTCTCCTCTAATTATCACATTCCTTAGCTCAGGATGTCATAAATACCTTATTTTACCTTTCTGTCTCTGAACCTCTCATATATGCGGGGTTCCTGTATATATGCATGTAATTAAATTTGGTTGTTTTGTCTTGTTAATATGTCTCATGTGGATTTAATTATTAGACCAGCCAAAAGAACCTAGAGGGGTAGAACAAAATTTCTTTCTTCCCACTATTGTATACCCTTGCAGATGGGTACCATTTCAAATTCACGGCCCCTAGTCAGACATGGTTCCACAACCATGCCAAAATGTGCCACCTATCCTCACACCCATTAAGTAACCCCCACCTTCCACTTTGTTGAGAAAATTAGGCCATCAGGAATGATGTCCTGTAGGTTCACAACACCTACTCTTAAATTTATCTACAGCCCTATTCTTACCTCCTTTCTTCCAGACCCACGTCTCTGTCCTCAGATGTAGAACTATGTCCCTACCAGTACTTGTGATGCCATCCCTCTGGGATTCTCTGGGATCTTGCCCCCATTAGCCGTCCCACTCCATTAGTATCTTCCAGTTTCCTTCTGTGTAAATTTCCCCTCTGCTTACAAATCTATTAAAAACATTGACTTCCTGTTCTTTTCTTACCATGTTCCAATATCGCCTCCTTTTTCATCCAAACTTGTTGAAAGAGGTATCTACTATCTCTTTTCCCACCTCCAGACTGCCCTTCATGTGCTTCAGTCTGGCCAGAGTTTCCATTCTTGGTAGAATGATCAATGTGAGTATTTTGATTTTATGTTTAAAAGTTGGGGGCTCTGTATGCATAAAGAAGTGTTTAAAGGCTATTCCTTTTTAAATTAATGTTCAATTTATTAAGGCTACAACATAAAAAAAAACACAAGTCTTTCTTAAATATTTAAGTTCAACTTACAAATTTTGCTATTTTATTTCTAAATCGGGTACAATGAGAACTATCATCACTTTTTCATTGATTATTGGATTATTATTGGATTAATATTTCTATATTGAACAGAATAATCTCCCTCAGTCCTTTTGTATAATTATATTCAATTAAATATTTTAAGCACTTTTCAAAATTTTAACATATTTTCTTTCATTTTTAAGTATTTCAAATTCCTGACAGGAAAAATTTACAATACCTATAAGCAAAACAATTCTAAGAACTCAAATAATTTTTGGAAGAACATTATTTATATATTGACAGAATTATCTATGTTATTCACAACTATAGCAAATAATTTTCCACAGCTTACTGTTAGGACAGCAAGAGGATGCAAGGACTCCCATAACAGTAGCCACTTTCATACCCAGATATTTCCTACTCTATATATCCATCCCATCAGAAAAATTATTACTTTCGGACCATGAATAGTTACAAGAACCAAGAGTTACAAAAACTCTTAATTTCTAACTGGCTCATGTGGCAGTGTTTAAATTCATCCAAAGCAGTATATAAAATCATTGATAATCCTGAGATTATTTCTTAGGAAATCTGATTATCTGATAATTGTTGTCAAAAATAGTGTGGTTACCACTAATGAGTCAAAGCACTCCACCAAGTTAATGGAACAGCCCCAGGGTATGCCAACACAAAGGGCACTCAACTATCATGACAGAAATCCAAATATTTATGTAAATCACTCTGTAAATGTTTTATGAAAACTGTGCAGTCTTGCCATTTGAACTGTAAATTACCATATCTGAAGTAAAGTGACCAAGTGATTAGTTTATTGCTTATAACTGGGCATCTTGAACCTACAAAAGCTCCCCCTTGAAGACAATGACAGTAAGACAGACTCAGGAATATACTTGGCACCCTTTCCTTTGATCATGACTCCCTTCCTCAAATCCTACTTGTCCAACTCCCCTGTCTCTGCACTGTAAATTTACTAGTCAATGATCACATTGAGGTTTTTAAACCTGAATTTATATCAAGTTAGACACCTCTGAGGATTTTATCCCTGCCTGGGCTTGCCTGTCTGGAAATTAAAAAGGGGTAACATTTTTAAAAATTTATTATTATTACTATTAATTTTCTTGTTACCCTCTTAACATATTTTTTCACAATGTTCTGCTATATCCAGAGTGGCTGCTTGTTAATAGAACTTCTGGCTTTCCCCTAAGCTTCCAATGCCAGATTCTAATCCACTGACAAAATAGTGGCCAAAATGTTCCTACCCATTGTATCTGTGATAAGGAGTAGTGTGTGTGTGTGTGTGTGTGTGTGTGTGTGTGTTAGGGAGTGACCAGCCAAAGTGAAATGATGAAGATAGGAGTCTGGATTCCAGGTGTACTGGATGTTGCCCTGGGTGGGAGGGGTTAAGGATGGTCCTGGCCTTGTGGAGTCAGGTTGGGAGGTAGGCACTGCCTCATCGTATTAAAAGCCTCCCCTCAGCCCTGGCCAGTTTGGCTCAGTGGTTGGAGCGTTGCCCTGCAGTCCGGAGAGACCCGGGTTCAGTTCCCACTAAGGGCATGTACCTTGGTTGCAGTTTGTCCCCGGCCCTAGTTGGGTCGTGCTGGTGGCAACCACTCGTTTCACGTTGATATTTCTCTCTCTCTCTCCTTCCCACTCTATCTGTACAAAAAATGGAAAAATGTCCTCGGGTGAATATTAAAAAAATAAAATAAAAGCCTTCTTCAAGTTGGCGATAAACCATAGTTAGCTCCCTCTGGTGATGATTCACCCTCCCACCAGAACTGGAATGCAGACCAAATTTTATAGATAAGGCAGCAGTACTTGCCAGAGTGGGGAGTGCTGCTCTTCCTTGTAGGGTTTTTGTTAAAGTTAACAGAGCTGATTAAGGTGCAGAGCAGAGACTGGAATCATACAAGCACTTGTTGTAGACCGAGATGGACCAGATTCAGACTCCGAACTGGGTTCAAATTAAGAGAGCTTTATTAGCCATGTGGTGACTGTCCCACCCTACACAGAGGAGAGAGCAGCCCCCAGCTCAGGGGGTGGGTTGCTTACACAGTTTTCTTAGCCCCTGTTAAGAAATTGGGCTAAGGGTCTGTGAGGAAGCAAGCATGTACAGAAGCGAGTATCTGCGGTTAGCCATTATGTCTGAGGGGTAAGCCGTTCTATTTGCACAATGTAGTGGTCAGCTCCGGCTGATGCCTATCTCCCTCCTACCTAGTTCCTGTAATCCTCTTAGGGTCCAGGGCAAGATCTACCAAGTGGGAAATTTTTAACTATAAGTTTTCACAGTACTTTAGCTGTACGTTCTTTTTGTTTTATTGCCCTATTGTCTGTCTTTCACACACTCAATAACTGTCTCCATTATTATCAGTATCATGAACCCGTTAGTTATAACTGGGGGTGAGGAAGCAAACCAAACCAACGAAGAACCAAAACGGTCTACAAAAGGGGACGACCGGGAACCTCCATTTGAGGAGGGGGGTGGCGGGGGGAGCTCCCACGCCAGCAGCCAATCCAGCTGTCCCGGGGAGGAAGAGGAGGAGCCACAGCCACTCCGGGATCCGCACTGCTCAGTCCAGGGCTGCGCGCTCGAACCCGCTCCGTTTCTGCGCCGTGGGTGCCCACCCCGCAGCCTCTTCCCGACGCAGATATGGCCTCTGGTGCCACCCCCACAGCCGTAAAGGTGAGATCAGCTGTCCTGGCTGCGACTGTCCGCCCCTGCCCGGTGCCCTCTGCTCCCCCCCGCGGAGGACCGCGGCTCGGGCCGTGCGCCCGCCCGTGCGCCCCCGCCCGTGCGCCCCCGCCCAGTCAGGGAAAGTCTGGGGCATGGCACCAGGGCGGGGTCGCCCAGGGGCTGGGAGCCGGGCGAGGGGGGGAGCCTGCAAACTCGTCCCCTCCACTTTTGGTTTCAGCTGCACCCTCACCGCGTAGGGCGTGGGCAGGCCCTTTGGCAAGGGGCTGTGGGCCAGAGATCCGCCCGCGCTCCAGCCTTGCCCGAGCACTCGTCCTTCCCCGGGAGATGGGGCTGGTGAGACCGTCTCCCCTGCCCGGCTGGACTCACGCTTCCGCTCTCATTCCTCTCACTTCCCGCCGCCCACGTGGGAGACCCGCGTGCTTGCCCTTTTGCAGGCTTCCGGTTTGTTTGGTTGGTTTAAACGTAGGTCTTCTGAAGTTTTCCTCTGCGGCACGGTGCTTCAGGCGTTCTGAGACTTGCAGCACCGAAGTCTAGTACTGGCAGCTCCTTGTTTGGGGCTTCTGGGTTTAAACTACTTTGTTTGCGGTCTTGAAAGATTAGTTTCACTGTGGTCTGGGACTTAGAGGTCTCAGTGGAAGAGATCTTTGTAGCCAGGGGAGGGCACGAGTTCAGAAGGGTGCCCCTGAATTTCCCTGGGTCTTTTAAACACTTTCTTGCTGGTTAGTGCCCTAGAAGAGAGTGTAGAATCACAGTGCATAAGGAAAACTTGATAAAACGCAAGATCTCTTCTCTGTTTATGATTGGCTCAGTCGGTTAACTTTAGAAATTCTTGGCTATGGGATAGGGAGGAGGCTTGCTTCCTCGCTTTGTGTTTATTTCTCTGGGGAGGCCAATCTCTGCGGTCTGCGTGTAATCAGCCAGAGTAATTATTAGTTTATTAGACCCTTACAGTTTTTAATGAGACAGTTATGAAAGGGAATGAGGTGGGACTGTTGCAGTCACACTTAGATTTGAAACTCCTTTGGTCATTTTGAGGAGAATTGTTCTCCCTTGCCAGTTATGGAGAACAAGGCAGAAAGAGTTTTTATGAAGCTCATGTGCAAAGCAAGTTCCTTAAGGTGCCCATCTATAAAGTGGTGATTTTACTGCAGGGTTTGCTCGGGCGTTTAGACTTATATTGTCTGTCTAGCACATAGTTGAAACCTATTCATTGGTAGTGCTTTTAAATGGGGGAGCTGAGATTAATTTTGAATATCTTTTCTCCAACAGTTAATGAATGATGTTATAAATACCCAAATGGCCTTCAGCAGAGGAAAGTTTCCCCACCCCTTACAGTAAGGCTTACAGGAATAAACACAGTAATATTAAAAACAGAGAGGGATGGTGTTTAAAACAATCTCATTTTAGACTGTTTTATTATTCTCCTTGCCACACAACCTCCTGTAAAATTGGTGCACTGCATTTAAGTGCAGACTGGCCACTGTGATTGGAGCCTGATATAAATATTGAATGATGTGTAGTTTTGGTCCTGGTGAGCTGCTGAATATAAACTTAAGAAATACAAATAGTGCTAGGCCTGCCTGCTGCTTTCTGTTTTTGAGGTTAGAAAGGTAATGCCATTGCTTTTGAGAATCCGTGATGCCAACACCAAGTTCCCCAGACTGCGGAGGCACCATCCTGTATAGAAAACATGAGGTGCTAGTGTCCAGAGCAAAATAGGCTAATAAAAATTATGTTCTGTCCCCTGATCATGGAGTGTTGCGCTGGAACGTTCTTGAACATCAGAGAGCCACACAAACTCTTTTTTGTGGATATGAAGCTGAGGCCCAGAAAGTCAACTAAGGTGTCCAGCATTGTATAATAGGACCTAAATAGTGAGAACTGGGCTAGAGCCTGACATTCCACCAACTAGATGTGAGGCATTTCTGAACCTGACATGTTCTTATTGTGTGAGTAAAGATATCATGCAGCCTGGCTGATGAGCGTCGATCCATGCACCAAGAGGTCACCAGTTTGATTCCCAGTCAGGGCACATGCCCAGGTTGTGGGCTAAATCCCTAGTGAGGGGCATGCAGGAAGCAGCCAATCGATGTTTCTTTCTCTCTCTCCCTCTCCCTTTCTCTCTAAAATGAATAAAGAAAAAAAAAAAAAAAGATATCATGCAGCTTTAAGGAGGAGGGATTATAGAGTGAGTGCAAGAAGTCAGCTACCTTCCTGTGCCCACTGGATGCTCGTACTAATAACAGCCATTGTCTGGGAGAACGTCCAGCATCGGCCATGAGCAGGAGGTATGCTTGACCATGCAAAGGGCTGAGCAGATCTTTGGCATCCAGACAGAGCATTCTGGAGGCCTCCTTCAGTGGTGGGAGTGTGTGGGTCCCCCAGGCAGCTTCCTAGCTTTTGCTCTGGGGGATTAAAAATAAGTCTTGTTTATCATGATTGCTATGACAGGGAGGGGATGTGGTCGCATTGTAGGTGGGTAGTGGGCTGTTCACAACATGCTATTAAGGGGAATGGGTAAGTCATGGAATCTAGACTGGATTATGCTTACCTCTTAGCTGTCTGAATATGGGTAGCAAAGGCCTTCAAACTGAAGGTCCTTGAGTGACTCAGAAATGGGGACAACCCACATGCCCCAGTTGGAAATGACCAGTGAACCTTTCTTCATTTTTTGCTTAGGGACACGGGGCATTTTGGTGAGGACAATTCCTCCTTTGTAGGACTGTCCTTAGCATCGCAGGACAGAGGGTACTTATTGGGTCCTCCCATGAAGTGCCAGTAGCATTCCTTCAGGTCATTGTGGCAGCCTGAAATGTCCCCTGGGTTCTCAGGCACCCTCAGGAGAGCCAGTTCACACTTGGCTGAGGGACCCTGAACTAAATCCCTGAGACAGATTGCCTGGTGAGGAGATGGAGGAGCAGCCATCCGAGCTGCAAAGAAAAATGAGGTAAGAGGCTTTTTTGTTGCTTTGAGGAAGTTTATTTTGATTTTGTTTGTTTTTGCTGAAGGTGGGAAGGTGTACAGGGACAATGACATATTAGTGCATTATTTCCATTTGATTGTCATAATTCTTCAGATTTCTTACCCTCCCTTATACAGACAGAGATATTGCGGGTTTGGGTCCAGACTACCGCAATAAAGTGAGTTGTAATCTTTTGGCTGGTGGAAGGTCTTGCCTTCTATTTGTTTAAAAAAAAAACAAAACACCCACAATATCTGTGAAGTGCAATAGAGTGAAGCACAATAAAAATGAGGTGTGGCCCAGCTGGTGTGGCTCACTGGTTGAGCATCCATCGACCCATGCACTAAGAGGTCGCCGGTTTGATTCCTGGTCAGGGGACATGCCCAGGTTGTGAGCCCGATCCCCAGTGGGAGGCATGCAGGAGGGGGCCAGTTGATGTGTCTATCTCTCTCTCTCCCCCTTCCTCTCTCTCTAAAATCAATAAAGAACAAATATTTTAAAAATAAATAAAAAGAAGGTGTACCTGTGGGTACAGATGAAGAAATACATATGCAATGGACCCTAGATCCTTAACTATGACTACAATCATGGTTTTTAATCCGTGCTTCAGAAGCATCCAAAACAGTGGTTCTCAAAGGACTCGGTGTATCTGCACCCACCTGGGAATGTGTTAGAAATGCAGATTCTTGGGCCCCAACCCAGTCCTGCTGAATCAGAGGCTCTAAGGGGTATGACCCAGCCATTTAGGTTTAGAAGAGTCTAAGTCTATTCCTTTGCCCACTAAGGTGTGATAACACTGACCCAGGGAGCTTAGAAAGGGCTGAGCATCTGCATTTTAACAAGTTCTTCGGGCCATTCTTAGTGTACTGGTTTCCTGTGACCACTGAAAGAATAAGGACAGGCTGGGTGGCTTGAAACAATGCAGATGTACTTGCTTACGGTTCTGGAGGTCAGAAGACCAGAATGAATCCTGTGGAGCTCCCATCAAGGTGTCAGTAGGGCAGGGCAGGTGCTCTTGGAGCATCTAAGGAGGAATCCCTTTGTGTCCTTGCCTTTACCAGCTTCTAGAGGTCGCCGGCTGTTCCTTGGCTCTTGACCCGCCTCACATCGCCTTCTCCCTGGTGATCATCTTATAAGGACCCTCGTGTTATCGGGGATAATCTCCCCCTCCCCAAATCTTTAATCACACAAAGTAACGATCATAGCTTCTGGGCATTAGGACACAGGTGGGATCTTCTCAAGGGTCCTTATTCAGCCTGTGAAACTCAGCCCCTGACTTTAGAATTTCATGATCTGAGTACTAAAGCAGGTGCTCAGTTCTGGCTGCACGTTTGATCCACCTGAGCTTTAAGGAAACCAACTGTGCCTTGGCCGGCTCAGCAGAATCTCTGCAGTCTGTGGCCCGGGCGTTGGTATTGAAAGCTCCCCGGTGAGCAGCTGGTCCAGGAGGCACACTGCGAAGGATCCCGCTGTCCTCAAGTGAGGGAGAGCTTTAGAGAATGCAATTAGCTTTCAGGAAAATCTCAAAAAATAATTGACTTTCATGAGGGATGTCTACCTGCTAGGGGCAGTTGGTTAAATAAAAACCAGGATGTTCTGAGCCCTCAGTTATTCTGACCAAAAGATAGTATTACTCGTTTGTTTGCTAGGGCTGCATAAAAGTACCTCAGACTGGGTGGCTTAAGCAACAGAAATTTATTTCCTCACGGTGCTGGAGGCTGGGAGTTCAAGATCAAGGTGCCAGCAGGTTGATTTCACCTGAGGCCTCTCCACCTGGCTGGCGGATGGCCGTTTTCTTCCTGTGTCTTCACATGGTATTCCTTCTGCGTGTCTGTGAACTAGTCTCTTGTAAGGTCACCGGTCATAATGGATACCCTCCTCCCTCCAAAGACCTCATTTAACTTTATCTCTTCAAAGAACTTATTTTCAAAAATAGTCATTCTGAGGTATTGGGATTAGGACTTCAACATATAGGGTTGGGGGGCACAATTGAACCCATACACATCACCCACAGGGGGGCCTCACAGAGGGGTCATTTTGATAGAGATGGGCCACCAGCTGTCTCCGTGGACATTATTGCAGGTTTTGAATAGGCTTCCCAGACAGACATTTAGCCACTTTCTCCTCATACGACTGGATTTCTGGGGTTTTGCAAGGCCCCGGGAGACCTCAAAGCCAGTTTGGCTCACTGAGGAGAGCTTCTCTCTGCTGTGGCTGCCGAACATGTCGGGGGCAACCTGGGCTCGACTGAAAGGCTCGGGCCAGGGGCTGCCGCCCGCTCGCGCTCCAGCTCTCTTGCTTCGTGAACTTGAACACAGAGGCAGCCCACCTCCTGGCAGGAGCTAGTCTCAACTGCTCAGGGTTAGGGTGTTTTGAGAATGCATCCTGTAGGACTGGGTTCCTCAGGTCATATGTCCATTCCTCTAAGTGATGGTGAGTGGTCCTCGGAACCACGTGGGGTATGTGAAATCTTGTGGGTCCAGGTACCAAGGGAAACAGAGGGTAGGGGTTAGTGTGAACCCTTTCAACATTGCTGGAAGTAGCCATTCTGCCCAACTAAGCCAACATTTAAATAAAATGCTTTCATAGTCTCAGAAAGTCAGATCCCCTCCTCATGAGGAGACACTTGGTGCTGTGTCTGTGGGAGAGTGTGGGAAGACACTAGCTGTTAAAATTTGTCAATGGCCTTGATTGACCAGGGGTCCCTAGTGAGAACATTTACTTGTGTAATGAAATCCTGGCTGGACAGAATTGGCCCACACATTCCAACCATGTGCTAGAATACATTTCCTAGGCAGCCTGGGATTGCCTGGACTATGGGCTGATGCTTCTGGCCCAGGAGGCCTGGTAAGATCTTGTCGTTGCTTCCTGAGTGTGGATGAGGTCACTGATGGAGAGCCCCCCCACCCCCAGCTCTCCGAGGTGGTTCACTTAGATGCCCAGAATCACTGTTTCTAAGCTTACTCTGTGACCTTTGTCCAGAACTTGACTTCTTTGAGCATCAGTTTTCTCATAAGATGGAGACAAAAACTTTCTAAGGTACAGTGTTATAAAGAATCCCAGGGGATATTGAGAGGTAGCACATCATGGTGATTGAGTGTGAAAAACCTGGGTTCCTATTACAGCTTTGCTTCTTGTGACAAGTCTCTCAGTTTTTACACATTTTACACTTTCTCATTTTAATTTTGTAAAATGGGTATAATACTATAGGGTCTGTCCTGTAGGATAGTTAGATAGGGTCGCTGAGGCATCTAGCATAGTGCCTGTGACATGTAAGTGCTCAGACACAGTTCTGGTTTTTTTTCTGAGTTGAATGAAAAGTAGCAGGATTATGTCACCCTGTTTGGGCGTTTCATCCTAATGGAGCCAGCAGGTGGCGACATTGCCCCATCTTGGCACAGCTAGCCACAATGGGCCACTGCAGGAAAATGGTTAGAAACTCAGTTCCCTGGGGTGGCAGTACTCAGTTGCTACCTTTGTTCTGTATCTCTTGCAAGGTAAGTGTTTCCATAAACAACTAGAGCCAGTTGGGTGACTGGATGGACACTCCTGCACATATTTCCAGGGCCAAAGACCCTGCTTTCTGACTAGCAATAGCAGCTCTTGCTTTCATGCCCAGTACTATGTGTTCCTTGCTGAGGGCTGAATTACCAGCTACCTGATGCAGGGTTGTCACGGAGCCTAGGTGGTGTGGACTAAAGCTTGGGGCTGCTGAGGGTGGGCTCAAGGGCCCTGAACTTCAGCAGCCCCCCCATTAGCATTTCTTAGCTGCTTCTGTAACACTGGGCTAGCTTGCCTAAACTGAGAGCATGGTTTCAGAACAGTCAGGTTTGTTTTTACATACGACTCTGAGAGTCTGGAATGTGAGATGCTATGGCCCAGGGATCATCCAGAAGCAGCCAACTCAAAGTGCCACACGTTTTTTTAAAAAGTGAAAGTTTCATCAGTGCCAGAATCCATGAAGAACAGACAGAGGAATTTGAGTTGGCAGTTCAGTTCTGTGGGTGATGGCATGTGCCACACAGTTATTAGTCCCCTGTGATCTATAGGGCTTTAGAAGTACTTGCAATAAAAGATAAAATGGAAAAGCCAGCCAGACAAAGGGTTAGGATTGCACAAAACAGATATTTTAAAATTTCTGTTGAACTGGAATGATTTAAATATACTAAATTAAGTGAACATTTATGTTTATTTGAAAACTGTAAATGTGACAAATGTGATTTGAAACTGTAAGCGTAGCAAATGTTAGTCTTTGCATGGGGCGGGCAGAGAAAATGTAACCTGTGGTTTCAGTAATGTACCACAAGGTGGCACCAACTTCAAAAACTGTCTTAGCCACTTGAGTTGTGGGGACACAGAGTTCTAAATAAGGTAACAGGTAGTTCTTCAGCAAAATATCACCAGATTGCCCTTATTTTCTGCTTTGTTCACTATTTTCATTTTTAGGACACTGGGGGCCATGGAGGTAGCCATTTTTCCACATATTAATAATATAAATCAGCTTGCTGACATGATCTGAAAATTATTCAGATGTTCAGTTAACTCTTAACGAATTTTTTTCTCAAGGAGCACCTTTCTTCCATTTAGTGGAGATTCTACTTAAGTGACGATTTAAAGCTTTCACTGAAAAAAAAAAATGCCCAGGTCATTTTCCATTTGGTGTTTTAGTAAAGTGTCATCTCTCTTGTTGCCGACAATTAAATACTATTTCTCCTTTAGGAAGTATCATCCCAGGGAGAAACCTTCCCAACAATTACATTTGTCTAATTTTTAGTTAACTGACTAGTTACCATTTTATTTATCTTTGTAGTTGTTCTTGTTTGTGTTTCTTAGTCATCAAGTTGGATTGAGTCTAGACGGTAGTACCTGGTTTCTTTACCTCTAATTAGTCCCTGACAACAGGGACTGTTATTTTCTGGAAAATGCAGTACAACACTGGATTTTTTAAAAAAAACTTAGAACTACCTTTGAATTACCTATGTATGAATGACATTTGGAGTTCATAAATATACATGAGGCTAACTTTTCATGCTATCCTCGACTCTTCTATCTTTGGTCCCCTACAGCTCTGATTTTAGTGGCACAGGACAGAAAACCTGTCTTGTTTCTTTATCTAATGGGGTAATGAGAAGAAATCATTATGAAGTGGTTATATGGGATATTTTCTATCCCAGCAGTCTTTGGAACATTCTTTATTCTATAGCGCATTTAGTGGAGAACATAAAGTTGGTTAGAGGGTACTTTCTGCAACCATATTTGCCTATTTTTAGGTTTGGTTTTCTGATGAAGCAGAAATTAAAGTACCTTTCTGTGCTAATTTGTTATTCAAATTATCAAGAGTAAATGTGATGAAGTCCAGAAAGGTGACCCACGTTTTGGTTATTTCTGGAACGTAGATGGCCTTCAAATATTTGTTGAATGACTGTTTTTAAGTAATTTCTGATTTTAAGTAATGACTTTTTAAGTAATGACTGGTTTTAAAAAATAGCTAGGGCTTAGCGGGAATGGAGAAGAGCATATGAGTAAATGAATTTCCTTAAAATACTGATTTTGTTTCTATTGAAAACCGATCAAATATGGTACCTTTTTGTTGTCCCCCTTAGATTGGAATAATTGGTGGAACAGGCCTGGGTGATCCAGAAATCTTAGAAGGAAGAACTGAGAAATATGTGGATACTCCATTTGGCAAGGTTAGTACCTAATTAATGGAGATATACTAGCTTTTTCCTTTCTCCATGCTGACTTGATTTTTAAGTAAAAAAAAAAAAAAATTTAATTGCTTTTGTCTTGTCATCCGGGGCTGCCTGCTCTGGGCTGAGAGGGGCCAGGCTGAGTGGGTTCTGCCATCTGAGACAGTGTCCCTCAGGGCGCCTTGGACTTTCCTACATGGAAAGAATTACTTTTGAACATGTGCCAAGTACGTCTCAATTTCTGTTCTTAGAAGTCCCATACTCATTTTAGACATAGCAACTGTGACCTTCAGTTCTCTGCATTTAAAGTATTTTAATTAGCTTCTGATTTGGTGCACATTAGTCATGCCACACTAACTCAAGTCATAGACTGTCAACACATACAGTAAGCCCTAGCCCAAAGGGGGGGGATTTGGGGGATTCCTAATATGATCGCATAACTGAACTGGAAATAAAACCCTCCTTTTCTATTAAAAGGAGGCTGTTTGTTCTCCCAGCCCCCAGGTCACCAGCTAGGCTGAAGGTGGCTGCCTTCTAATTCCACAGCGCTCCTTCCAAACATCGCGGTTCTTTGATTCTATTGTGAAGATCCCTGCCTCTGACAATCCCGACCAAACTCTCTTTTTCAACCAAGGCCTTAGATTAACCTCATGTCCTCCAAGTCCTGCTATAAGCAAGGCTCACTTCTTAGCCATATGTTTTCTTAAGCCCCTAGATCCTCAGAACTTTTCCCTCTGTTACCTCCGGTCACCCATGGCTATTTTATAGTTGGCTAACAGAGCAAATCTTCAATGCTGAGTTCTTAAATCCCCTGAGAGTGGCCTCCTGTTCCTTCGTCATTTTACTCTCACACCTGACAGATACCAACACAGCTGTGTATGATCAGTCTACCATCAGAGTCCCCTGGGGTGCTTGCTTCAAATAGGTTTCGCTAAATGGGACCTACCCATCCACCTGAGGCAGTCTTCCAAGTCCTGTGAATCTCTGTGCTTATAGCAGGTTCAATAAATTTTTATTGAGTGATTATCCATCAAATCTAGACTCTTCTGCCCTGGCCGGTTTGGCTCAGTGGTTGGAGCATCGGCCTACAGACCAGAGAGTCCCGGGTTTGGTTGCTTCTAGGGGCACGTACCCCCCCCCCCCAAAAAAATCTAGACTCCTCTTTAAAGTGTATCATCAAACTCCAAGTTTCCATGAATCCTGTCATGGTTGAACAGTTGAAGTGGCAGCTTTCTAATTGTGTATATATGTTTTCAAATCACTGAGTTGTAACCATTATTCATTATATGCAGCCTTCTGATGCCTTAATTTCTGGGAAGATAAAGAATGTTGATTGTGTCCTCCTTGCAAGGTAAGGTATTTTAAGCTTTTCGAATGTTATTACTAAAGGAGAATTTAAATTTAATTTAAAATCAGAAAGAATAATGATGCAGGTATGTTGGAGCCAAAGCACCTTAGTCACTTTTATCTACTACTTCCTGTTTTTGGGCAAGTTAGAAGGACTTAGATCTCACCCACCCCCTCCTTTGTTTAGGAGAGTGGTTAGAACAATCCAGTGAGTGATAAGCTGAGTTTAACTAAAGTTAAAGCTCTGGTTTCCTCCATTTCTAGCTGCAAGAGGAAATGTTTTCATCTGTTTTTTGTTTGTTTGTTTGTTTTTTCTTTTTTCTAGTTAATGAGATAAAGAAAAAACTGCTTTATTCATCACCCCTTGTGAATGTTACTATAGTTCTAAGTTTGTGGGGAATGGGCTTTGGATCCCTGAAGTGAGTTCCCTATGATTTCCATGCCCGTTTCCTTGACAAGTCTACTGCTGTTCCAGGTTATAGAGGGAGAAAAGTCATTTGTATCACATCGTTGTTTACCCTGTTAAAGATCCTGTCTTCATATATGGTCACGTTCTGTTAGGACGAGGGGTCAGGAATTCAACATATGAAAGGGGGGCACAGTTCAGCCCATAACATGGGTTGTCCCTGAGGGGATCTGTTCTCAGACGAAACCTTCCAACAGTTGGGAACTCTCATATCTTAAATGTTTCACTAAATTATTTGGGTGATCAGGCAGAAGGCATGGAGAGACTCAACTGGAAACTTGAGTTTTCGTTTCTGTTTTGCGTCTTTCTTCATTGGCACCTCTTGTTTTCTGTGTCGTGACTCACATGAGGCCCGATGCCTCAGATTGGGGGGTTTGGTGCGCCGCAGGGTAGACCCAACACAGTGTCCTGGAGAGGGAAGTCTAAGTAAGCGAGTACCTACTCTTGGTAGGAACATAAATACACAGAACGTAAAGCTGGCCTGCCCTGTAAAACCGAATGGTTTACACTTAGAGTTGGCTGGTTACTTCCCAACCTCTTCTTTTCTCCTCTGCCAATGAAAGCACTGTGGTGGGAAGGGCTGGAAGGCGCTCCCGCTGGAAATTAGTTTCCTTTTCTGACACTGTTAAACCGTGCTGCTCACTCGGCTACCGTATTTGCTCCCCTTCCTGCAGGCATGGGAGGCAGCATTCCATCATGCCTTCCAAAGTCAACTACCAGGCCAACATCTGGGCCCTCAAAGAGGAGGGCTGTACCCACATCATAGTGACCACAGCTTGCGGCTCCCTGAAGGAAGAGATCCAGCCCGGAGATTTCGTCATCATTGACCAGTTCATCGACAGGTAGGCAGTCGTCTCTGCAGCCTTCGATGCCTGTAAGATCATTCCCAGCCCCGGTGGACCGCGTGTGGGCACTTGGGGGAGAGGGAGCGACAGGCCCAGAGACTTGCTCTAAACTTTTTATTGTGGGATTTTTTTTTTTAAACATATATAAAATAAAATAATAATCATAAACGCTCAGGTTCCTAATTCCCTGCTTCAGCATTTAAGTCACTACGGTTTGTAACTTTAAAAGGTAAAGACTCTTTAAAAAATAAAAAAAATTGCTTAATATTTCCTTAGTATTAGGCAGTGTTCTCCTTTTCCTGTTGTCTCACAGACTTTCTTAAGACCTGACCAGAACCAGGTTCAAATTCTTGGCAAGAGTCCTCCACATCATGTCAGAAGGGCATGTCATACCTGGCTGTCTTCTCCTGTCTTCTCAGGAGCGAGGAATTTTTGTTTACAAAAGTAATATATAATGTTTCTTTACTCCCAAATTAAGCAGTAATAGGCTGCCAAGGTCCTGAGCTTCTTCTGCCTTTAGAAGTAGTTGAAGAAATCACAAGGGAAGGTGAGGGTCTGGTGGGGTTCCTGGCCCTCCCCACCCCAACCCCATTCCTGGTGGAAGTAACCACCTCCCAGGATTCTCTGGATAGAGACAGGTGGCTGCACTCTGCACCTTGACCCAGAGTGGTGGGGAGAAGTGCCAAGGAGTGTAAACCATTTGGTTGTTCCTGCCAGGGTCCCCCATTTAGTCTCCTAGACCACCCCTCGGTCTTCCTGTTCCCTGCATCTGTTACCTCTGAGCTTACTCTACCCAGTGCCTCCCCCACATCTTCTGTTACAGGAGGAAGGCTTATGCAGGCCGGTTGAGTGCCTTCTGCCTCTCAGGGATTTGTTATAGTTTGTAGTCCATCAGGAGCAATCTTGATTGTTTCCATCTGAAACGAAGCTATCAGATTGCCCCATATGAAATTGGCCATTCTGTAAATTAGAAATGGTCGCAGAGCGGCAGCTTCGTGTGGCGCAACGTGATAAGTAATAGGAGTAGACTAAAATCATTACGTGCCCCTCCTCTGTCATTTTTCCTATCATTTTTTAGCACCTGACACTAAATGGGTATCGTCTGTCTTCCCCTCTAGAAAATAAACTATGTGCAAGTAAAGACCTTGTCTATCCTGTTGGCCACTTTATCCCAAACACCCACAATCCCTTCTGGCCTGTAGTGGCTCAGTCAGCGTTTGAGTGACTGAATGAATGTGATCATGTCAAAGGAGTGGGAGGCTGCAGTTTGTGTCGAGGGGACAGCTTCATCAAAATCGCTATGGCTGTCAAAATCCATGTGTTTGGAGATGAATAGTTTCAGAAAATAATTGGGCTACGGTTTAATAAAGCAGAGTATAAAACTTCATATTCAAAATGATCTGGATTTATAAAGTATTATAGATGATACTAGAAGGAAAAAGCTGACTTGGGGATTAAGTCTGGGGTTAATTTGTAACTTAAGTGTGTAACTTCACTGCCAAATTTCCCAGATCTTTTCCTCACGTGCCCCAAATGCAAGTTTTGAACGTACTGGCTCTTTTCAAGAAAGCAGTTGGGGCACAAAAGATAGAGAAAAGCGAACAGTCTTGCCATCAAATCTGGTCTCATTCTATCTTGGCATTTCGGGAACCGAACCCGGGTCTCTCCCGACCGCAGGCCGATGTTCTAACCGCTGAGCCAAACCGGCCAGGGCTGCTGTGTAACCCTAAAATCTGGTTATTTTTTTTCTCTCAGGCACCATGTGAATGACCGGTCTTCTTAGTCTTGCCTTGAAAGTTCAAAATTTCTAGCAAATGCCTTTTGTGGGAATCTGGCATATTATACCTGCCCAATACCTACCTGGGTGCCATTATTGTGAGTGGGGGCATGTTGGCTGGAGGGTCCATAATTAACATTACTTGACAACAGCAAATGAAAAGATCTGTTAAAAGGATCACTGCAGAAATATCCTTTAGAATGAAACTTCAAATTTTATATTGATTATATATTGCAATAATAACATTTTGAATATTTTAGGATAGATAAGATGTTAAAGCTGATATTACCTGTTTCTCTTTTACTTTTTCATGACATATGTAGCTTACACAATGTTGCTAGGAGACAGAGTCTTATAAATGATACTGCCACTGCTGAGCCTGTGGCTTCCAGTTAGCCAGGCTTGTGCACGTCTATGGCTCACTGTATGTTTGAATGTCTCGTAGGAGGAGAGACTCAGCTTTCTGCCTTGTGAGTAATGTGCTATGTGTGTTGTACTGATGGGACAGGACACTTTTTTTTTTTTTAATCCTCACCCGAGGATATTTTTTCCATATATCTTCAGATAGAGTGAGAGGGGAAGAGAGAGAGAGACATCGATGTGAGAGAAACATCGATTGGCTGCCTCCCGCACAACCCTGACCAGGGCTGGGAACTGAACTGTAACCAGAATCGAACCCGCAACTCTCTGGTCTGTGGGCCGATGCTCTAACCACTGAACCAAACCAGCCAGGGCTGGGACACTTTTCTAATGAAGTAAATTTTGGTGTGTCGAGGCAGGTGGCTGACACCTCCCCTTGGTGCTGTCAGCCAGCATGGAATGGCTGTGTTCTTTGTGGTCTGGGGTTCCCGTATGGCTGTACCCACTGCCTCAACTTCTTGGACAGAATTTCAGTGTTCTTCAAAGTTGCCCAGTGGATTATAGCCTAACCAGGGTAGCAGTAGCCCTGGGTTAGGTTTTATCTTGGCTCTGATTGGCCTTAGCCAAATCACTTTACCTGTGTGGCCCTTGGTCCTCTCTTGGGGTTGAACTCCACCATCATTAGCTCCTTTCCCCTACACTGCCCGTGAATTCTTCTCCAGGGACTGAGCTCGAAACACACACGTTTGCCTGTTGCTATAACTTTATCAGCACATCATTTTAGCAAAAATAGCCTTGTCCTAAAGCAGTCTTCAGAGGCTAAAGGGATTGTTTTAATCTCCCTAACATAAATTTGTGATAAGGAAAGAATCACAATAGAATAATACGGCATTACTTATTTAGTAGGTAGCAGAACCAAAGCATGTGGCTTTCTGTACCCTCAATGCCCAGCACCGGGGGAGAACACCAACCCAGCCTATCAGCTGTGCTGTGCGTACCATAGAGGTCGTAAGATCTAAGAGTGACAGGTGGCTCTGGTTTTTATGGTTGCTTTTCAAAACATTAGCTTTCTACTCTAAAAATGAAATATACCCTTGAAGGAGTCTGACAGGCTGGAAGCTCTTTTAAGAAAATCTTTCTTAAAATCTTTCTCCTGAAAATCTTTTCTTTAATTTTTCCTTCCTGCTACATACCAGCCTTTGAGAAGTTGAAAGGTCTGGGTATGAGAAAAGGGGATTCCTGGGTGTGCCTGACCTGAAGACAGCAGGACCACAGACAGGTGGGAGCAGAGTGGTTCCAGGTATTTCTGGGTGTGTTTAGTCAGTCCTGGCATCTGCTTCTCATACATGCAAGGAAATGCTTATCTTTTTTTATTTATTTTTCAGTTTTTTATCTTTATTGTTGGAAGTATTACACATGTCCCCCTATTTTTCCCCCATTGAACCCCTCCTCCCCACTCATCCCTCTCCCCACCTCCCCCACATTATTGTCTGTGTCCATTGGTTATGCATATTTATATATACATATAAGTTCTTTGGTTTATCTCTTCTCACGCCCCCACCCTCATCCCCTTCCCTCTGAGATTTGTTAGTCTGTTCTCTACTTCCACGTCTCTGAATCTGTTTTGATCGTCAGTTTATTTTGTTCATTATATTCCACAAATAAGTGAGATCATGTGATACTTGTCTTTATTTGACTGACTTGTTTCGCTCAGCATAATACTCCCCAGGTCATCTCCAAGGATAAGAGATCTTTCTTCCTCATAGCTGCATAGTATTCCATTGTGTAAATGTACCACAGCTTTTGTATCTACTTATCTACTGATTGGCACTTGGGCTGTTTCCAGATCTTAGCTATTGTAAATCACACTGCTGTGAACACAGGGTTGCATATATTCCTTCTGATTGGTATTTCAGGCTTCTTAGGATATATTCCTAGAGGTGGGATCACTGGGTTAAATGGCAGTTCCATCAATTTTTTGAGGAAACACCATACTGTTTCCATAGTGGCTGCATCAGTCTGCATTCCCACCTGCAGTGTACTACAGTCCCCTTTTCTCCACACCCTCGCCAACACTTGTTTGATGATTTGTTGATGGCGGCCATTTTGGCAAGTGTGAGGTGATACCTCATAGATGTTTTAATTTGCATCTCTCTGACGATTAGAGATGTTGAGCATTTTTTGTATGTCTCTGGGGCCATTTGTATGTCCTATTTGAAGAAGTGTTTGTTCAGGTCCTCTGTCAGTTTTAATTGGATTATTTGTCCGCCTTTCGTTAGGCCATATGAGTACTTTATATATTTTGGATATTAACCCCTTATCAAATGTAGCTTTGGCAAAAATATTCTCCCAAAGAGAAGGTTCCCTCTTCATTTTGATGCTGGTTTCTTTTGCCATGCAGAAACTTTTTAGTTTGATATAGTCCCACTTATTAATTTTTTTCCTTTGTGTTTCTTGCTCTAGGTGATGTATCAGTGAAAATTTGCTGTATATGTATGAGATTTTGCTACCTACATTTTCTTCTAGGATTTTTATGGTTTCACAGGTTACATTTAAGTCTTTTATCTATTTTGATTTTATTCTTGTGTATGGTCTAAGTTGGTGGTCTAGTTTCATTTTTTTTGCATGGACCTGTCCAGTTCTCCCATCACCATTTGTTGAAGACTCTCTTTTCTCCATTGTATGCTCTGGTCTCCTTTGTCAAGTATTAATTGTGCATAATGTCTTGGGTCAATTGCTGGGTTCTCTGTTCTGTGCCATTGATCTGTATGCCTGTTCTTGTGCCAGTATCAGGCTGTTTTGATTATGATGGCTTTGTAGTATAACCTGATACCTGGTACTGTGGTTTTTCCCAGTACTT